AGAGGTGCTGGAAAAAGAATATTCTCTTGGTGAGAAAAATAGAAAAATCCTGAATGCCTTGTCCAATGATTGGGAAAATAAAGTGACTGCTATTGAGGAGGCTAGAGATTTGAATACTATGCCTATTGAATCTCTTATTAATTCTCTTACCTCTTATGAGCTGAAACTTAAGATTAAGGTGCAAGAGGAAGAGGATGCAAAAGTGCGAAAGAATATTGCTCTAAAAGCCTCACAAGATGAAGATGATTCTGCCTCCCTAGATGAAAAAGATGTGGAAGGTGATGATAATGATATCGCTCTCATCACAAGAAATTTCAAACGAATACTCAACAAGAGGAGATTCAGAAAAGGTGGACCTGGCAATTCATTCCCAAATCAGTTCAACAAAAAGCAAACTGATCAGTGCTTTGAATGCGGCCAACCTGGACACTATGCAAGTGACTGTCCAGTGATGAAGAAGAAAGAAGGAAGAAAACCAAGAATAAACAAATTTCAATTCACATGGAATGAATGCAATTCCGATGGTGAAATTGAAGAGGAAGAAGAGTCTGCTCAATTGGCTTTTATGGCCATTGGAGATGATGAGGTAACATCTTCTAGCTCTCAATTTGAAAGTGATGATGAAGATGATGATGATCTTGAATCTTTCATTATAAAATTGCATGATAGTTTGAAAGAATCTTATGTTAGAAACAAGGAGTTAAAACAGAAAATTAGTTTTTTGCTTCGAAATAATGCGAATCTTTTTCAACAAAACAAAAAGTTGAAAACTGAAAATGATTACTTCAAAAAAAGTGAGACTGCTTTACACTTGGATCTTGATAGAAAAATAAGTTTTTGTGAAATGTTCAAAAGGGAACAAAATGATTTGAAAAGAAGAATGGATGATTTAAATGAGTTGCTTCAACATAAAAAACAGGACTGTTTTCAAAGTAATAAATCAAAACCTCATTTTAAGATAAATTCTGCTGCAAATGAGTTTGTTATCCATAGGAGAAGACAAGTAAGATTTATTAAACCTGTTCATGTAAATAACTCTTTGGTTATGTGTAATTTTTGTTGTCAAAAAGGTCACATGAATAGTGATTGTTATGTGAGAAAGAATATGAGAAGATGCATGAAATGCATGTGGATAGTTAGACATGATACTAATTTTAACAAGTAGGAGGTTTTGTCTAATCATTGCAGTGATTCTTGTTCATAATATTTTTTCTTTTGATACTTTGATCTGAGTTTTCGCTGATGTCTTTGAATACTACTGAATCTATATGATGTCAAAAAGAGAGATAAAAGAATAATGCTGATCTCATGATGATTTGTTGTAATTGCTGTCATTTCTCTATTTTTTCTTGGAATATTGAATTCTCTGTTATTGTTGCTGGATTATAGTAGTTGATTTTTACTCTTATGATGACAAAAAGGGGGAGAAATGGATGCAATGTGTAAGGGGGAGTTATTCTGAGATTATGAGTTTGGCTCTTAAAAGTTTTGGTTGCAATGATTGAGGGGGAGCTTATACTTATTTTTGTTTCTTTCCATCCATTGTTTTGTCATCATCAAAAAGGGGGAGATTGTTGATCTTGATCCCTATCTTTTGATGTTTACAAAACAAATGGATGTTACTAATGTCTCTTAAAAGATCTATTCAGTTATGAAGCAAATTAGTTCCAAAGATCAAGTACAATTGAAAGATGACAAAGTATGCTGAAACTGTCGGACGCTCAAGAAGTCAGGATCGGACGTCCGATAATCATTGCACAACTTCGGACGCATGCTTCGGACGTCCGATAGGATCCTTCGAAGTCGACGAAACTATCGGACGCTGAATATGTCTCTACCGGACGTCCGATAGAAACAAGATAATTTCTCAAATCTGTTTGTTTGCTGTCGGACGCACAAAGAGCTTGCACCGGACGTCCGAAAGAATTGAAGAAAATCTCTGAAACTCACTGCCTGCTGTCGGACGCATAAAACAGGGCTATCGGACGTCCGACACTCTAACGGCTAGTTGACTTTTCAGCTACTTTCTATCCGTTGGAAGCTTTAATGAGGCTCTTTCTTGGTCCTATATAAATAGTGATTGGTCAGATACTTCAAACAATTTTGGCACACTGAAGATACAAAAGATCTAGAGAGATTTTAGTGAGAAAATACTCCAAAAAGAATATTTGTAGTCTTAGTGGTGTGAGGTTCATTGTAAGCTTTTCATTTGTGAGTGAATCTTTCATGAGTGTAGCTCTGTGAGGGTTGTCCTGAGGGATAGTAAAACGTCCTGGCTTGACCGAGTGCTGCTTGGGGCAAGGAGGAGGTGAACCTTCCTTTGTACACAAGAGTGATTGTAATTCATCAACTTGAAGTAGATTGTTTCAATTAATCTACAAGCTCAAGAGGAGTTGGGTAGTTAATTGGTTTGCAATCCTTTCCTTTTTATTTACTTATTGTTTCGTTTATGATCTTTGCATTGGTTGTTTTGGGCCTTACATAGGAAGATTATATACATAAATGCAATAATCATAGGGGGTAAAGTGGACATTCGTGCAAAGTATAAGGGTGTTTACTGAATATTATGATTTCATAACCCCCTTATGATTTGGATTAAAGTGTCAAAATGATAGAATTTGCAACCTATAACGGAGTCAATTAAAATATTAAAAATACTCCTATGTAAAGTTGAAAATTATTTATTAACCACAAGGGAGTTATGTATATATAATGAAAATCATATGGGGCGTTATATGATAAAATATTAAACTATAAGGGGTCATATAGTAAAATATAAAACCATACCAGGGTTAGAGTGTCATATATGTTATGTTTATATATTTTGATCATTTCAGTCATTTGAGTTTTTAAACAAGGGTAATTTCGATATTTTTATAGGTTCCGTTAGGAATGACTATTTCCGTCACTTTGATAATTTAATCCAAACTATGAGGGAGTTATATATAGTTTTTAAAACTATGGGGGGTTATGTACAAAAATACTAAACCATGGGAGTAAAGTGTAATTTGCCCTTAATTTTATTATAACTTGACAGAAGTTTCTAATTCCTTTTTTTTTTTTTTTGGTTTCGCAAAAAACAACGGAAGAACGAATCGATAATACATATTTCATTTTCTTGTGCTTCCGGCAGGACATGATTGTAGGTGGAACTCATGCTACATCTACGCTGCTTGAGTGGCAATTTCAGAGCTATTAAGAAACACAAATGCCATGCACAAATTACAAAACGAAGTGAGACAATTCTTAGGATGCAAAACATACATCACTGAGGATGATTTAGAGAACCTCCATTACCTGAAAGCAGTAATAAAAGAGGCTCTTCGCTTGCATCCACCAGTTCCATTACTTGTTCCTCGTGAATCAAGCAAGGCAGTCAAAATAATGGGATACGATATAGCTGCCGGCACTCAAGTGATTATCAATGCTTGGGGAATTGGAAGGGACCCAAAACTGTGGAAAGATGCTGAGGAGTTTCAGCCGGAGAGGTTCTTGAATAGCTCTTTGGACATTAAAGGGCAAAATTTTGAGTTCATCCCATTTGGTTCCGGAAGGAGGAGCTGCCCTGGTTCTGCATTTGCCTTGGTTACAGCTGAACTTGCACTCGCAAATTTGATCTGCAGCTTTGATTTTGAATGGGCTGGTGGAGCAGGACCAGAGGATTTGGATATGACTGAAGCACCTGGGATCGTTACGCCAAGGAAAGTCCCTCTTCTACTAGTTGCAAGTCTACCTAATTAGGCACTTCAAGATTCAAGATACCTGTTGGTGGTAGTTCTATGAGTACCATTGTATCTTGCCACCTTTAAATTTGAGATAGAATTGATGGGGAAAACTTTTAAAATGGTGAAATATTGCGTTATGATGAGTGCAGAGGCCCCATTCTGGGCCCGGACACGCGGCAGCCCAGGAAGAACCGAGTTGGGCCTTGGCCCTCAGACCCCTGAGATCAGCCCTGGGCCGCACCGACTAGGGCTCCCAGGAAAGGCGAAGGTCCGTCCCGAAGAGGTCGGGAGTAGTCCCCCTGAGTGCGGGATACTATCTATACTGGGCAAGTCCCGCGTCGTGCGGAGGTCGGACTCCCTTGCAGGTATAAATAATAACACACATCCACTGTACAAAGGAGGCTCACTATTGACAATTTACTCTGGACAGCTACTACTTCCCGTGAACTTTACTCACCGGAAAACTAACTTGGCCGTCGGAGTGCCCTCGGGGACAACCCTCGGGCCCCCTTTGTTAGCTCATCTTCTCTGTTTTGCAGGTCTTGGATCAGCTCTCCCATCGACACCCCGAGCTGATCAGGTCAGCTCTCCTCGGGGAAGCTCAGCGCTTCTTCAGTTGGCGCCGTCTGTGGGAACCGTAAGGTAAGTAAGATTGTGTTGATGGTCAGGACGCGATCCAAGCGTACGGCAGAGAGCACCGGCCCTGGGGGCGGTGAGGGGTCCCAGCGGAAAGAGGGTGGGGCGTCCCAGGGCGCCGGTGGCTCAGCCCTTTCAGGGGAGCGGAGGCAGCAGATCTTCCAGTTTGTGACGGAGAATCTCCCCATGCTGGAGGATATAATCCGGCAGGCGAAGGAGGGAGAGGGGGCTGGGGGTGCACAGACCTCCAAGGCCAAGGGGAAGGAGAAGGAGTTACCCCCTGATCCTTCGGAGGATGAGTCGCGAGACCAGCCCCCTAGGAGGAAGCGACCCCGGACTCCTCCCCGTCCCCGAGCCTCGGTGGTCGAGGACAGCGAGAGGTATTCCCGCGACAGGTCCGCGAGGAGCCATCCCAGAGACCCCTCTCCGAGGAAGCCCACACGGAATGGGTTCGAGCGTTCCCCTGCTCGGTCTGCCAAGAGCCGGCCCCGCGACCCCCTTTATCTGGACCCTGCTCGGGATGAGCTCGAGCAGATCTTGAGGCCCCGGCCATACGAGGACAATTATGCAACCTCGCCCTTTACCTGAGAGATAGAGGACTACCCCCTACCCCGGAGGTTTAAGATTCCGAGCATCGAGATGTACGATGCCTCTACAGACCCGGAAGACCACCTCTCGGTATTCCTGACGCATATGCGCCTGCAAACCGCCGCTGATGAGGTTCGCTGCAAGACCTTCCCTATGTTCCTAAAGGGGAAGGCGCGGCTCTGGTTCCAGGGACTGAAACCGGGGTCCATACGGAGCTTTCCCGAGCTGGCCCGGCAGTTTGCAGCCCAGTTCGTCTCTTCGAAGGTTTACGCGAGGAACGCAACCCACCTGATGTCCATCAGGCAAAGGCCCGACGAGTCACTGAGGAATTTCATGACCCGCTTCAATGCGGAGGGCCTGCAGGTCAGGGATAAGGACGAAAAAGTGGTGATTGCCGCCTTCACAAACGGGCTCAGGGTGGAGGAGCTTTTCTACGACCTGGCCAAGAAGCCTCCCGTAAGCCTGGAAGAGCTCCTACGCAGGGCGCACGAGACTGCTAATGCGGAGGAGGTAGGTCGCCTAAAGAAAGAATCAGATCGGGAGATCGGAGATCGCAAAGGCCGGACCAACCCCCCAGAGGGCAAGGAGGCCCCGGCCAAGAAAAACGTCTTTGATCGGCTCTCGAAGGAGAAGGCCCCTGTTCTGCCACCACTCTCAGAGAAGACCTACACCCCTCTAACACGGCCTAGAGCCCGTTATGGAGGCGGAAGGGCTGGGAGATCGGCCGCCCAAGATGGGGACGCCCCGGAACAAAAGGAACCAAGACCGATATTGCGCCTTCCACCGTGACGTCGGACACGACACGGAGGGGTGCTGGGCCCTGCGTAAGGAGATCGAGGACCTGATCCAACGTGGCTTTCTAGGTCGGTTCGTACGCCGACCAGGTCAGGAGTTCGGACGCAACCATTACGGAGACAGGCGCGAGGGACAGCGTCGCGACCGCCCAGAGCGGCGTGAGGCTCCTCGGAACCACTCTCCCGACCAGGACATCCAGAACCTGGCGGGAGTGATAAACACCATCGCGGGAGGTCCCACGGGGGGGGACAGTCATGCAGCTCGGAAGAATAAGCGGCCACCCCCCGAAGGGGACGACTCCTTGAAGCGTCTGCGCATGGACGAGGAGATTACCTTCGGACCAAGGGATACGGTTCCCTTGGCTTCCGGGAACCACGAAGCCATTGTGATAGACATTGTTACCAACAACTACCGGGTGAAGAAGGTATATGTCGACCAGGGTAGCGCGGTTGATATCATGTTCTATCGGATGTTCAAGGAGCTCGGGCTAAGGGATGACCAGCTGACCCCGGTCCGGACACCTCTAGTGGGCTTCACCGGACCACCCATCAGTTCGGAAGGGATGATCACCCTGATGGTCACAGTAGGGCAGGCTCCCAAGTGTCGGACCGTTCCCGTTAATTTCGTGGTGGTCAAGCAGTCGTCCCCGTACAATGTGTTCTTGGGGAGACCTGCTTTGAACGCCCTCCGGGCTATTCCCTCTACCTTCCACCTCAGCGTCAAGTTCCCCACTCCCGGAGGGATAGCCGAGGTGCACGGCGACCCAGAGGTAGCCAGGGCTTGCTACCTGGCCACTCTCCGGGGGCAGGAGAAGGTGGTCGCCCAGACAACCTGTTTGGAGCCCTACATCCCAGGCTACCCACTCCCGGAGGGATAGCCGAGATGCACGGCGACCCAGAGGTAGTCAGGGCTTGCTACCTGGCCACTCTCCGGGGGCAGGAGAAGGTGGTCGCCCAGACAACCTGTTTGGAGCCCTACATCCCAGGGGATGAGGCCCAATACCTGGGCACCCAGGATGAGATTGAGGAGTTCCCCTTGAGGGAGGAACGGCCCGACCAGGTCATCCGCATCGGGGCATTGCTGCCAGCGGACGAGAAGGAAGGCTTGAAGGCCTTATTGAGGGAATACTCCCAGGTCTTCGCATGGACGGTGGATGACATGCCCGGGATCCCTACGGACCTGGCAGTCCATCACCTCGACGTGGACCCTCGCTTCAAGCCGGTAAAGCAGAAGAAAAGGAGTTTCGCCCCTGAGAGAAATGAGGTGATCAAGGCGGAGGTCGGTAAGTTGCTGGAGTCCAAGATCATCCTGGAGGTCTACTACCCGACCTGGCTGGCCAATCCCGTCCTGGTCAAGAAGGAGGACCTGACCTGGAGGATGTGCGTAGACTTCACGGACCTCAACAAAGCCTGCCCGAAGGACTGCTTTCCCCTGCCTCGAATTGACAGGTTAGTAGATTCTACTGTGGGCTTTGACGTTTTATGCTTTCTGGACGTCTTTAAGGGATATCACCAGATAGAGATGGCCGAGGAGGACCGGGACAAGACCTCCTTCATCACCGAGGAGGGAACCTACTGCTACAGGACCATGCCCTTCGGATTGAAGAACGCGGGAGCAACTTACCAGCGCCTGGTGAACAAGTTATTCCAAAACCAGGTCGGCAGAAGCATGGAGGTTTATGTTGACGACATGATCGTCAAAAGTCGAACTGACCAGCGCCTCATACCCGACCTGCGGGAGGTCCTGGACATTCTACTGAAGAGCCGGATGCGCCTAAATCCGAAGAAGTGCACTTTTGGGGTCAGATCGGGAAGGTTCCTCGGTTTTCTGGTGTCCCGAGACGGAATCCGGGCCAACCCGGATAAACTCCAGGCAATCATGGACATGACTCCTCCAAGGAACGTGAAGGAAGTTCAGCGGCTCACTGGGAGAATGGCCGCCCTGAGTAGATTCCTTTCGCGCTCCACGGTCCCAGGGCTACCCTTCTTTCGTGTCTTGAAAGCGCCTAAGGATTTCCATTGGACGGAGGAGTGCCAAAAAGCCTTCACCGACCTGAAAAAATACTTGGCCGAGCTGCCAACCCTGACCGCCCCGGAGCCGGAGGAGACCCTATTCCTATACCTGTCCGCTTGCAGCGAGGCCGTTAGTGCGGTCTTGGTGCGGGAGGATGGGGGGGCTCAGAGGCCGGTGTACTACGTCAGCCGAGCTCTCCAGGGGCCAGAGACGCGATACTCGCCGGCCGAGAAACTGGTCCTGGCCCTGGTACACGCTGCTCGCAAACTCCGCCCCTATTTCCAAACTCACAGCATTGTAGTCCTGATTGACCAGCCCTTGCGTCAGATACTCACCAAACCAGAGGTCTCGGGCAGAATGACCAAATGGGCTGTCGAGCTAGCCGAACACGACATCGGCTATCAGCCCCGCAAATCCATCAAGGCCCAGGCCTTGGCGGATTTCCTTTCTGAGGGGGCTAGTTTGAGCTTAACCGAGCTAAGCCCCCTGCACGAGGAGCTGCTGCAGAAGGAGCCCTGGGTGTTGTTCGTAGACGGAACCTCCAGCAAGGAAGGAAGCGGGGCAGGTCTGCTACTTATTTCACCTACCGGGGAAGAGCTGACCTACGCCCTCCGATTGGACTTCCCCGCGTCCAACAACGAGGCCGAGTACGAGGCCCTGCTCACAGGATTGCGGATAGCCCACCAGATGGGAATAACCGCGATCCAGGTCAGGAGCGACTCACAGCTCGTCGTCCTTCAAGTCCTTGGGGAGTACGAAGCCAAGGACGAGGTTATGAAGAAGTACCTGACCAAGGTACGAGAGGCGGTGGCCTTGTTCGAAACGTTCGAAATCGAGCGGGTGCCAAGGTCCCAGAACAAGCGGGCAGACGCCCTTTCAAAGCTGGCATCCTCCTCATTTGCCCACCTGAGCAAAGAGGTATTGGTGGAAGTGCTAAAGCAGAAAAGTATCGATCAGGTCCAGGTCCTGGCTATAGACAGCTCGGCCACCTGGATGACGCCCCTCGTCGACTTCCTCAGCTCGGGTGACCTCCCCGAAAACAAAGCTGAGGCCCGACGAATCCAGCTCAGAGCTGCCAAATACGCCTACGTCGGGGGAACCCTCTACAGGAGGTCGTACCTGTCCCCCTGGCTAAAGTGCGTGACGCCCGAGGAAGGTGATTACGTCCTGCGCGAGGTCCATGAAGGAATATGTGCGGCCCATGTGGGGTCCCGAGTGCTGGCTAAAAAGTGCCTCCTTTTGGGCTACTATTGGCCCTCAGTCTTTCGAGACGCAGCAGATCTGGTCCAGAAATGCCGAGCCTGCCAAGTGCACGCTTCGCTGCGCCATCAGCCAGCTCGGGAGATGGTCCCTATCCACAGTCCTTGGCCCTTCGCTCAATGGGGGATAGACCTCCTGGGTCCCTTCCCCCGAGCCCCGGGAAGATATGAGCACCTCGTGGTAGCAATAGACTACTTCACAAAGTGGGTGGAAGCGGAGCCCCTGGTCTCTATCTCGGGGAAGGTAATTCTGAAATTCTTTTGGAAGAGCATAGTTTGCCGGTTTGGGATTCCGCATGTCCTAATATCCGACAACGGCCGCCAGTTGGCCGAGAACCCTTTCCGCAGCTGGTGCGCCGAGCTCGGAATCAACCAACACTTCACGTCGGTTGGTCACCCCCAGGCCAATGGCCAGGTGGAGAACGCTAACCGAACTGTCCTGCAAGGGTTGAAGACTAGACTGGAATCCGCCCAATCGAGCTGGCTGGATGAGCTCCCCAGTGTCCTCTGGGCTTACCGCACTACGCCCCGGACGGCCACCCAAGAGACCCCGTTCTCCCTAACTTATGGAGTAGAGGCGGTGGTGCCCGCGGAGGTCGGTCTTCCTTCACCTAGAACACAGAACTTCGTGGCAACCTCCAACGAGGAGGAGCTCAGGTTCAACTTGGATATGCTCGAAGCCAGGCGGGACGAAACGGCTGTTCGGATGGCTAAGTATAAAAGCCAGCTCGCCCGCTATCACAACGCCAAAGTGAGGACTATGCAGTACCTGCCCGGAGACCTCGTCCTGAGGAAGAACTCGATAAGCCGAGTACACGGCTCCAACAAGCTCGACCCAAACTGGGAGGGCCCCTACAAGATCCTTGAGGCGAGCCGAGCTGGTTATTGCAAGCTCGCTAAGATGGATGGATCTGAAGTACCTCGGACTTGGCACTTCTCCAATTTGCGGTTGTTTGTAGCGTAGGTTAAACCAGGGTGTTCAGTGGCCTGTTCTCTGAAATCCGAATTTTTGTTTTCTCATTCAATCACAGCTCGTTTTCATTTTCACTTGTACTTGTTTCATTTTACAATTTTCAAGCCTGCACCTTACACTAGCACATTCAGCATTCCCTCGCTCAATGTCCTAGTGGGGGGCTAGGGGTAGTTGGGGGTGAAGTGTGAAGTGTTCGACCCAGGAGGTCGGCACGAACGCGCTTAATGAAGTGTGAAGTGTTCGACCCAGGAGGTCGGCACGAACGCGCTTAATGAAGTGTGAAGTGTTCGACCCAGGAGGTCGGCAAGAACGCGCTTAATGAAGTGTGAAGTGTTCGACCCAGGAGGTCGGCACGAACGCGCTTAATGAAGTGTGAAGTGTTCGACCCAAGAGGTCGGCAAGAACGCACTTAACGCTTAAAGTACTCGGTCGGAAGTGTGAAGTGTTCGACCCAGGAGGTCGGCAAGGACGCGCTTAATATTTAAAGCACTCAGCCCCAAGGGGTGAGGTGTGAGGTGTTCGACCCCGGAGGTCGGCACATAGCATTGCGAGTGGGCAAGGAAAGAAGAAAATAACTCTTCGAAATCTTGTCTATACATTGCAAGCCTATCTATTACAAAGCTTCCGAGCTGCCTATCTATTACAAAGCTTCCGAGCTGTCTATCTATTACAAAGCGCCCTGCCTATCTACCGCAAAATTTTCGAGTTGGTAATCTCCTTCGATGTCTGTTCTACCTGCTGGTGGCCCG